TGAAGGGCAGATGTTCTTTCAGAAGCATTTTTTGTTAATGAATGTGATGACCTTTGTGTGGGTTGTAGAGTCTTTTTTGTTATCAGGCATGTAAGTGTGAAAACCCTGTCTTTATGGCCTTCCTCAGCTCTATTTGTCAGGGTTTGCTTAACATTAGCGACTCTATTTTGACTACGACAACTTTTTTTTTTTTCTTTGAGTTGGAGATCTCAGCTCACAGCAACCTCTGCCTCCTGGGTTCAAGCAATTCTCTGCCTCAGCCACTCTAGTATCTGGGATTATAGACATGCACCATCAAACCTGACTAATTTTTGTATTTTTAGTAGAGATAGGGTTTTGCCATCTTGGCCAGCCTGATCTCGAACTCCTGATCTCAAGTGATCTGCCTGCCTTGGCCTCCTGAAGTGCTGGGATTACAGGCATGAGCCACCAGGCCCAGTCAGACTATGACAACTTTCACAATGGTATTTTATTACAGTAACCTGAACACATCAAATAAGAATATAGATTCTATATTTAATTATGTAAATATATACTCACATATTTATGACTAAAGAAAGGTTAATTACAAGCATTCTCTTCCCCTCTACCATTAGGACATACAATCCCTCCTACACTATCACTGTTTTTTTCTTTTTTTGAGAGAGTCTTGCTCTGTTACCTAGGTTGGAGTGCAATGGTGTGATCTCGGCTCACTACGTTCTCTGCCTCTTGGGTTCAAGTGAGTCTCCTGCCTCAGCCTTCCAAGTAGTTGGAACTACAGGCACACATCATTATGACTGGCTTTTTTTTTTTTTTCTGAGATGAAGTCTTGCTCTGTCGCTCAGGCTGGAGTGCAGTGGTGTGATCTTGGCTCACTGCAACCTCCGCCTGCTGGGCTCAAGCAATTCTCCTGTCTCAGCCTCCCTAGTAGCTGGGATTACAGGCACCTGTCATCATGACCAGCTAATTTTTGTATTTTTGGTAGAGAAAGGGTTTCACCACATTGGCCAGGCTGTTCTTGAACTCTTGACCTCATGTGATCTGCCTGCCTTGGCCTCCCAAAGTGCTGGGATTACTGGTGTGAGCCACTGTGCCCAGCCAGATTTGGAATTTGAACATAGGATGTCTATCATCAAAAGCTAGATTTTTTTTTTTTAAGAGATAGGGTTTCACCATGTTAGCCAGGATGGTCTCGATCTCCTGACCTGATGATCTGCCCACCTCAGCCTCCCAAAGTGCTGGGATTACAGGCGTGAGCCAGCACGCCCAGCCAAAAGCTAGATTTTTAACCACTACACTATATTACAAAGGTGCAACTCAAATGTCATTCCTTTTGTGATATTTGCTAAATCTACAACTGCTTAAAATATGGTCTATGGGCCAGTAGCATCAGCATCACCTAGGAGATCTCAAGGTCCTACCCAAGATTACTGAGTCAAAATGTATTTTCTTTTTTTTTTTTTGAAACAGAGTCTTGCTCTTGTTGCCCAGGCTGNTTTTTTGAAACAGAGTCTTGCTCTTGTTGCCCAGGCTGGAGTGCAATGGCATGATCTCAGGTCACTGTAGCCTCTGCCTCCTGGATTCAAGCAATTCTCATGCCTCAGCCTCCTGAGGTGTCACACACTTTTAAACCAGGTCTCAGGAGAACTCACTATCATGAGGACAGCACCAAGGAGCTGTGCTAAACCATTCACAAGAAATCCACCCTCATGATCCAGTCACCTCCCACCAGGCCCCACCTCCAACACTGGCAATTACAATTCAACATGAGATTTGGGCAGGAAGAAATATCCAAACTATACCTACTGTTTTCTTTGGGTTTGTACAGCATGTTCTTTATTCATTGCTAGTAAAATTTTCATCTGTCTCCCATAAACCTGTGATATTCTTGAAAGCAGGAAATCTGTATTATTACTTTTTGTATTCTGACTACTGCTAGTTGTCTATCAAAACCATTTTCTCAGTCTTTCTGGGTACACTCCTAATCTACATTTCCCAGCTTCCTTGCAGTTAGGTGTGATCATGTGACTAAAATCTCTCCAGTGGAATGTAAGCAGAAATACTGTGTACTATTTCTGGGCCCAGGTCTTAAAGATTGTGGGCAAGCTCCCTGTTTTTTCCCTTCTCTTTGACTGGAATCTTAGTTTACAGGGTCTCAGTTGCACTAGCTACATTTCACATGCTCAATAGCATTTGTGGCTAATGGCTACCATATTAGAGCAGACATAGAACATTTTCATCATTACAGAAATTTATATTGGATAGGACCATGCTAGAGAGAATAGTTACAGTCTGTCAGATAACCTAGAATCATTACAATAAATCACCTCTGTTGCTTAAGCTAATCAGATTTGATTTTGCTATATGCTTTCAAGAAGACCTCAGTTATTATATATCTGGCACTATAGCTATACCTACTAAACACTAAATCTGATGGAGAAATTCTCAGGCTTATTTCTATTTGACCTTAATCAGTTTTTTTTTTTTTTTTTTTTTTTTTTTTTTTTTTTTTTCTTTTT